GCAATATAACAAAGAGTGAAAAATTTAAGGGGGTCTGAATACTTTCCGTACCCACTGTATATATATATGCATCTGTGGAGAGACACACATACACACACACCACAAAAACATAGTAACGCAATCACAGAGATAAAAAGAGACAAACATATCAAACGAGATGAATGTCCAGGGAGACTATTGCAAACCACAGAACTGAAAACAACCCTTTGAGACGAAACTAAAGCAGCAAGGCCACTCGCAACTATATGCGTGTACCCAGGCGCATGCATGACCACCCTCTGTCATATCCGTTTTCATTAAGTCATGACATTCAGAAAGGCCACAAATTCCTCGGTGAGAGGGGAGGGTGGAGAGATGGCCGAAAACAACCAACAACCCAACACAATTTACTCACTCACTCATCTAAACCGGGTAATTACTTTCCCTTTGCGGAAAAGATGTAGCTTACGGGGGGTGAGGGGTATCATTTATACGTGGTCAGCTAGATGAAGGATGAATATATTTGTAAATTTAGCCACAAATTGATAATTACAGGCCTTCAGAGGCTAGAGAAAATGGCTTACATCCATTAGTGTCAGTGATTTCTGATTGGTTAAAAGGTGGTCTTTAAAACCGGGCATTGGTGTTAAAAACTGAGTATATGCAAGGGTTAACTTAACATGCAATGGGAAATCTGTGGAGTGGTGACATGCGTGAACAAACCTAAAGTTGCACACACACAGTCAAATAGTTAGGGCCCTGTATTAGACAGCTGTCAGCACCCTCTGATTTGGTGTGTCAGAGCTTTGACATTTTGACAGGCACTGAGACGGACTGCTAAACTCTCCGGCATTCTACAGGGCAATCACAATGCAAGGCCCGTCGGAGGGCTGTTATTAAAGCGTCTGTGACATCGTCACCGTGAGATCCATCTGCTAAAGGCAGACTGGTTGCGTGGTGGGTGCAGGGGGTCCTTCTTGGTTTGACCCGTTTGGCCAGGGGTGGTTTTTGCAATGCCTGACAGTAATAACAGGGAGCGAAGAGGCACTTAATATGGTGTTGAAAGTTCTATAGAAAAGTGAGTGACTGAAGGAAAATTCTGTTTGAAAAAGTGTCATCTTGTTTCAACTTAGAACTTCATAGGGAAAATATTAGAATCTGTAGTAATAGGTAGTAATACTGGCCGCCAATTCAAACAGAAATGAGAGAGAAGAAGATAGAGAGAGCAAGAGAGGCTCTGTTCTTAAATCAAGTGAGCTGCTTTACTGTCTACTTGCCTAGGAGCATCCTAAGTGAAATTAATGTTAGCATATTGTTAAAGGGATAGTTCACCTTCAGCTGCTGGTCCCCATAGTGTTCTCTTTCATAGTGTTTTCTTTCTTTTTTTTTCCATACTATGGAAGTCAATGGGGACCAGCAACTGTGTACACATTAGCATTATGCTAAGCAAACAACAATACTCTGGTCACATTAGCAAAACTGCATTGTCCATTATCAATAGTGTAGAGACTAGCTCAGTTTCAAACTCAGCAGCTTTATATTGGATAATGCGACAAATTTGTGTGTTCAAAGTTTAACAAACTGGAATCTAATGTGAAAGCCAGACTCAACTCACAGTTGACTTATAATAGAGTTTTACATTAGCATGTTGCTAAGCTAACAGCACAACACTCTAATGAACAAAGAAAAACAAAACAAAAAACACAAAAACTAGGTAAAATACTTCATTTTAATTAGACAGAACTATTTTAGTACTGAACATATATGAGCTAACAAAAACACTCCAATAAGTAAGCAAAAATTAAAATGGTTGCTTTTAATTAGAAATAACTATTTTTATTGATGCTATGTGATGAATTATATTATTACTTATTGCATTGCATGCCATCTTGGAAGGATTTTTTCCCACTGTGACACAATGCAATATGAAATTCTCTTCTCAAAGTGTACATTACAATTTGGTCAGAAGAAAGCTATAAGGACGACCAAAAGAAAGCATCTTTTGGAACAACTTTTGCAGCGGGAGTGCTCCATTAAACGTAGGCAGCTCACTATGTTTTGGAACAGAGCAGAGATAGAGTGAGAGAGCGAGAGAGAGAGAGAGAGAGAGAGAGAGAGAGAGAGAGAGAGAGAAAGAGAGAGAGAAGACAAGGGTACAGTACCTCCATGGTTTGAGACTGATGCATGGCTTTGATTGCATTCTGTGCCATAGCCCTGGTAGAAAACGTGACAAACGCACATCCTGCAGGAGGGAGGGGAGGAACGAGGGAGGGAGGAGAGGAGAGGAAGGAGGAGAGACGAGAGAGAAACAAAACAAGACAAAAGGGTTGGACAGGTTGTTATAAAGCCAAAAAACAAAGATCGTACAAAGAACACAGCAGACAACAGTGCTATACAGTTGCTAGAATAAAACAACCAACATTCAACATTCAGCTTCAGATAAACATTCAACATCTCAAAATACACACTCAACATAATGTCAGCAATGGAACCAGTTCTTTAGTTTCGTCTGGTGTGATGGCTTGGAAATTACAGTATAGGGTTAGAATGTGCGGCTAGTTTTAACACACACACACACACACACACACACACACATACACATACATTGTTTCTACCTGTAGGGTTACTGTAATACCAAAATTGCAATTGTTCATACCAATACCAGTAAAATTTATTGATTCTTGATTTTAATTTTGATACTACAACAAAAACTAACATGACTGATAACTGAACATACTTTATTAAAAAACTTAAACATTAATATAAATAATAAATTAGATAAATTCGATTAGTCTTGGATTACTTTTACAATGTTTTTATGAACTTTTTGAAGCTTGAAAGTTTTGACAGAATTCTGACAGAGAAATCTCTCAGGTTTGATTAAAAAATATTTGTGTATCGAAGATGAACGAACGTCTGAACAACATCAGTTTGAGTAAATGATGACAGTTTTGATTTTTTTGGGGTGAATTATCCTTTTAAATTAAAACAATGATTTAAAAAGAAATTAAATTAAAACATGAAATCTAATGCTTCAAATTAGTAATGGAATTATTCAGGCAAACAAAGACACAAATCAAGATCAGTGAGTGATTTTCCCTTTTTTCTTATCATTATTACTGTTTATTAATATTATCAAAATAGTGGCACATTTCATAAGCTGAATTTAAACTGCAAGGCCAAATATATGCACAATATTTTCATACCAAATTATTTTACTTGTACCTGTACTATTGATATCCCCACCAACCCAGTTTCATTAATATTCGGTCTTTTCATAAATATGTACAAACACACCCAATTTCTTTCTTTTTAAACAACTGTAATCAAGGCGAACTATCCCTGGAGGGGAGTGTGTGTTTCGGGAGAGCTTGCAATGGCATCTGGGACAAGAAGTCTTGGAACCGAAGCGGTGCAAGCGGGAGCCAGAAGAACAGGCCATATGGAGGCATGCTGGGGGAAAACGCAGCCCTACACACACACACACACACACACACACACACACACACACACACACACACACACACACACACACACACACACACACACACACACACACACACACACACACACACACACACACACACACACACACACACACACACACACACACACACACACACACACACACACACACACACACACACACACACACACACACACACATACACATACATTGTTTCTACCTGTAGGGTTACTGTAATACCAAAATTGCAATTGTTCATACCAATACCAGTAAAATTTATTGATTCTTGATTTTAATTTTGATACTACAACAAAAACTAACATGACTGATAACTGAACATACTTTATTAAAAAACTTAAACATTAATATAAATAATAAATTAGATAAATTCGATTAGTCTTGGATTACTTTTACAATGTTTTTATGAACTTTTTGAAGCTTGAAAGTTTTGACAGAATTCTGACAGAGAAATCTCTCAGGTTTGATTAAAAAATATTTGTGTATCGAAGATGAACGAACGTCTGAACAACATCAGTTTGAGTAAATGATGACAGTTTTGATTTTTTTGGGGTGAATTATCCTTTTAAATTAAAACAATGATTTAAAAAGAAATTAAATTAAAACATGAAATCTAATGCTTCAAATTAGTAATGGAATTATTCAGGCAAACAAAGACACAAATCAAGATCAGTGAGTGATTTTCCCTTTTTTCTTATCATTATTACTGTTTATTAATATTATCAAAATAGTGGCACATCTCATAAGCTGAATTTAAACTGCAAGGCCAAATATATGCACAATATTTTCATACCAAATTATTTTACTTGTACCTGTACTATTGATATCCCCACCAACCCAGTTTCATTAATATTCGGTCTTTTCATAAATATGTACAAACACACCCAATTTCTTTCTTTTTAAACAACTGTAATCAAGGCGAACTATCCCTGGAGGGGAGTGTGTGTTTCGGGAGAGCTTGCAATGGCATCTGGGACAAGAAGTCTTGGAACCGAAGCGGTGCAAGCGGGAGCCAGAAGAACAGGCCATATGGAGGCATGCTGGGGGAAAACGCAGCCCTGTTTGAAGAGCTCTACTCTACTGTGCAGTCCAGCACATTTATACATATGGAGGACACACACACGCACATGCATGGGCAGTCTAGTTAATAGGTTAACTACTTCTCACATGTCTACATATGCGAATACGTTGAGATAGAAGGGAAAGAATGGAGGAGAGGAAAGAACAAAGACTTGACGTCCTGTCTTTTCGTAAATGGTTCCTTTTAAATTCGAAAACTCTATTTTACAATGTGATCTGTGTCCAAATGTTGTTGGCCAGAATAACATGGACATGATGGGCAATTTCATATTACTTTCTCTCTTTTCCTACAGCAACATTCTCATGCTGCCACAAAGAATGATGGGAAATGTAGTTTTTCACACAAACCTGTCAGCTCATAAATCGGCTAAATAAGTAGTACTTTCTGGAAACACTTTAACATTATTCATGATCCACAGTACATAATTTGCGTACAAAATACAGTAGAGTCAACATTCACAATTACATATGATAAATACCACCACATTTCCACCTTGATTCTTTAAGAAAATCTTTACTTTCCCATAGGGATGGGCGATATCTTATCGCTTGCGATATACCGATAAAAATTCTCCCCACGATAATAATTAGTCTTCCGGCAATAATAACGATAAAATCTAGTTGTTGACATTTCTGTGTGCTACAGTGCGGAGCGACATCGCGGAAGGCGGACGTGAAATTGAGGAGGAGTAGCCTATATCGCTAAATGAGGAGCTCGAGCTCCTTTTACAATCTGTAACTGGTTTGGTTAGGGCTGTACAGTGCACAAAAAATCGGCCTGAATAAATGTACTACAGTAGCCTAGCACGTGTGCGATACAGTTTTTGCATGTGTATGAGCCTGTTTAAAAACCTGTTGTCCAAATTAACTTAATAACATAGTCGAGTGTTTGAAATACTTCTTTTTGTGACCAGACGTGGTTTCATATTACAGAATGTGTACTCATTAATGCTCACCCTATTTTGGGTAAAAATAAGAAAGATAATACTTTTCTCTAAAGAAACAGGATTCCCTGAATTATCGTCATTGATATCGTTATCGTAATAAATACCAGAAATATCGTGATATATTTGTAAGCCCATATCGCCCATCCCTACTTTCCCATTAGAAATGAGGACATAGTGGTTCCTCATCTCATAAGTGGTCATGCATACAAGTGCATGCATACAAAGTTCTTAGAGTTGGATTTGTATGTTTTCAGAAAAATATTTATTTTTTATTTTAATTTTTTTACATTTTATATGTCACATGGTGTGACGTGGTGTAACCAAGTAAAAATAACACTTTTCCTACACTGTAGACATCTTAATCATCGAAAAAAAAATATATATATATATATATTTTTTTTTAGGTAAACAGTATTTCTTTTACAAATATCCTTAATTATTAATTCACAAATATTATTTTTGTTTTTGGGGAGTCGCACCACATGACATTTCACAATTTGAACTAATGTTGTTCTGCCATAAAATGGTCAAATTATTTTATATTTTATTATTATTCGATATTTTAATATGGTCTTGATATAGACATATTTAAAAAAAAATACTTTTAATATAACAAAAAAATAAAAAGTTACTCTTCCCAACCCCCTACCCAAAAAATACCAATAGTAATTTTACATTCAGAAATTAAAAGATGCTCCACATAGAAGTGTATTCACTGCATTTTTTAATTGCATTTAAATGTTTTTTTGATTAAAATTAAATGATAGGACAAAAAAGGAGCATCATGTCATTTTACATTTTACAGCAATAATTCTACACTGCAATGCGATTTTACGACCACACGGTTGCACTGTATATCTGCTGGCACAGTCTACCTGCTCCAGCGGACATACCTTTATTCTCTTCTTCTCATTAGCATCTCTCTCTTCACTATCGCCTGATACAACCTCCTTTCTGTCTTCAGAGCGGGTGACTCTGGCCCCGGTGAACCGGAGCATCGCCACGAGTGAAAGCAGAATGAAAGCCCATTTATTTTTATAGAGTTGTTTAATTAGCCTCATCATTAAAGCAGTTTTGGACACTCTAAGGGTGATATTTGTGAGCACTGGCAGGGTGCGAAACTCTAGAGAAACAGTCTCGTAGGGGAGAAACGCGGAAAAGACGTTCTCTTTCAACTCTCAAAGTCCTCGTTTTTGCTGACCTGCGACTACAGAGTTCGTTCACGGTTCGAACGGACTATGATCTGTTGTGATAAGAAGCTGTTAACGATGAGACAGAATGAAAGTATTTCCAAGAAAGCGATTAATTATTCTTATTACGCAGCCCTCTGGAATACTTGATGGTGATTGGTCAATCACAGCATTCTGGGGTCAATTTCTTTTGGCATAATGAGCGCAAAATGGCATAATTGTCCTAGTCAACTGATTTCCTCTGCTAGTTCCCCATGTCATAACAGTTTTTTTTTTCTTTTTACATATTAAAATAATTTCAGGTCAAATAACTATTTTATGTCCATTTAGTTAATTCGCCGTCAGGTGTTTTTCTTATAATAATGAGCAACTGCCTGTACATTTCCCCTCAAATGTGTCATAGTTGTGGCAAAAACAACGCAATTAACTGTCAGTGTCATCAAAAGAGAATGAATAAGGGAGACGTGCGATATGGAGGGATAGAGAGAGCGAAATATGAGAGTTTTTTGAAGAAAGTGGGGTAGCTCCCAGGGCACTGTGCTCACATGTGGCCTGATCTATATTTTATTAATAGTGAAGTTCAATGATGATTGATAGAACGCTTTAATAGCGGCACAAGAGCGCTTTTAAAGTTGTCCTAGTCTGTGGGATTTACCGTACACCTCCTTTACGTACACATTTGCTCATCTATTTATTCATCCAATCCTTTTTTATGGGAGGGGGTGGTAGTTTCTCTCATAGAAGCATTTCAAATATATCTCCAACCACGAGCTCAGGGAATAAAGTTAATCTCCTGTGGAATTAAAATATTCATGAGGACAGGAGAAAAGACGGACTGCTGAGGAGTAACGCGAATGAGCGGAGGATGGAGGGACAACTAGAGGAGTGGATGAGGAGGATAAACGAGTGATAAAAGATGGCTGTATTCACCTGTCTGTCACAAACAAAAAGCGGTGACAGTTTTGCACTTACAATGGAGGCCTAAGGGGAAATTGTACAACAGATGCCCCTTTTATGTGCAATTAAATCACTTTTTTTTTTTTAGGTAAGGTACAAGTTAAACATACGGTCAATGTTAATCCACAATGGATCTAAACTTGAATATCCCTTTAATGAAGTATAAAAACACAAGCATGGTAATATATCAAACATGTGCACCATATAAAGAGTTGTATTCTACACTTGTGTTGCAAGTCCACATATAAAATTAGTTTCTTGCACCAAAACCCCTCATAAAATAGTTTTTATAAGCATTTTCCACACTCTTTATAACTAAACTGGCTGATTTTGCTACTGTACCTTTAAGACCTCTATATTTAAATAAGCCCTGTGATGATTGGCTAAATGTCAAACTGCTGTAATTCCAACCCGATCTCACAGAATAATGTAATTATTTTATGAGGCGTCGCTTTTGTATGAATTCATATGATGTGAAATGTACAAAAGAAACATACGATTTTTAGGGGGGAAAAAATCAACCCTAAACATAAATATAACTCCGATAATGCGAAATGAGATTGTACGAAATCATACAAATTAGTATTCGCCGATTCGCCAAAATGTACAATAGTTACAAATTGCCAAGAGGTTTTATTGATAGCTCACTCTGTTGTTTGTAAGGACAGCACAAGCGGCTTAATAATTAATGGGCGGTCATATGTTAATGAGCTTATGGTTATGATGTCACAGTTGTGACATCCAGTCTGTTCACATAAAAAGTGAAATTCTGTGTAACGCGAAACAATCACTGCCAATCAGGATTTATTTTATTTATTTATTTCTACTATTTAGTTACATGGAAAGCTTTATTGGACCAATGAGGTTTCAATGTGGGCGTGGCTACCCAGTGTAATGCTTCATTGCCTCGCAACTGGTTAGCTCACAGTGTTAGTTTCACATTTGCTTTGAACATTTTGGAGTAAACATCAAACTTATTTCAAAAGCGCAAGAAAAAAATCATATGTTCCCTTAAAAATGTAAAAACAAATACAGTATATGTGCATGTGTCTCACCTCGGCTGAGTCCATCTGGTCCCCTCAAGATACGGCACTCCTCGATCTGTCCCAAAGGAGAGAACATGACCCGGATGTCATTCTCGTTGCATTTCTTCGACACCATGCCGATGAACAGCTTTCTGTCCTCCACCGCTGAGAGAAAAGAAGGGAGGAGAAAACAAATGTGACCAACGTGTGGTAAAAAAGACGTTACGGCTGCATGTGATCAATGTCTCATTAGCACATCAAGCCCAGACACACACAACCGCAAATTTTCGCTTGGTTATCTTTGATCTTTTCTTTCAATGACCTGAGTGCTCTCTTTTGCTCGTAATCTGCATGTGCTGCCATCTAGTCCTCCTGGGAAGATCCTATTTACTAGCTCGGAGGCCATAATTATGATGTGATGTGCATTTATGTTCGAAATAAAATGGATGCGTTGGGCAATTTTATTTTTATTTCTCTCTTTTTCAGTTCACCATAAAGACAGGAAGCTCTATTAGCACTAATGCACCAAAATGAAGTGGAAAAGGTGCATTAGGTGTGTAATTGATGCTTTATTTATGTATTTTATCATTCTTGTGCTGCCATAGAGAATGATGGGAAATGTAGTTTTGATGCTCACCTCATCGGCTAAATGAGTAGTGTTTTCTGGCATGCTGTATTGCTATTTTTCATCAATAATAGATCAAATGTGTACATTGAACATATGGAATACTCCACAAATATCTGTGGAACTGGAACTGTATGTAATCTTTTCGCAAATTTGATTTTGCATTCAGCGTACTGTAAGACCATTAAACACTCAGCTCAATTTAACGTTACAATATAATCTTGCAAATCGTATTTCCAGCTTAAATAAATAAATGAACAAATAGATAAATTGCAACTTCATATAAATGACTTCAGATAAATACTTGCAACTTCATATCCCCCAATTGTGACTTTAAATCGTATAATATGACTTTGTGTATTAATCATAGATTAATCATGCATTGTTTTACTAAATTCAAAGACTTTTAAACTAGTAAATAAAAAATAAAATAAAATAAAACTTCATATCCACCAACTGTGATTTTTAATCTTACAGCGTTAATGTATTACTTATTTTTAACATTATATCACAGTGACCACAAATTCAATTTTTAGACATAGAAATGAGTTTCCATACAGTAAATAATATTCCTACAACTTGCAGGCAGTGAGATAATGTGCAAACCTTCAGGTGTTTCTAATCAGAATTGATCGGCATAACGGGAAGAGGAGTGAACAAGAAGGAAATATTGAAAATACAAAGACAAAATGAAATCATATATTTGGTGATGGTTTGCAGTTGTGTGTTTGTGTATGCTTGAGTGAGAGGGAGAGAGAGAGAAAGAGAGAGAGACAGCAAGAGAGAGGCAACTGTAATCCAATTTTTTTTAATGAAGAATGTGTCAGCTCTTACCGCTGGGCGGCCGATAAGCAAGCCGCTGCACTCTGGGAAATCGATAGCTCACTTGTTTATTTTGCTGTTTGAATTGTTTGCGCATTTAACAGTGACAGGATGAGCCAGCGATAAGTGCTGTTACAAAGGCTTCGCCTTTACGCACACACAGTGTCATATCAGAAGATTAAACACACACACACACACACACACACACACACACACACAGACACAGGAGCAGGGTTCTCAGTTTGATGGGTTACAGTGTTCACTAATAAGCAGAATGAATGCATTACAGCTAAGCTTACAGTGAACATCTGATATAATATCCTCTATGTGAGACGTTTTATGGAGGGTCATATCTACGTATAACATCACTGTCACTCAGAGAGACAGACAGAGACAGATCCTTTTACACAGACAAGCAGCAGAGCCCAATCTGACTCTGAAGAAAATACATGAAATGCTATTCGCACACCATTTTATTTCCATAATAAGTCATTTTAGAGGCAGAACAAGTTATTACATTTTGATGAAATATTACAACAAATATTTTTCTTTGGAATAACATGAAGCAAGTCAAATACAATAAGACCGATAACTAGTATTAAGAAAGTTATTATCCATAGACTTACAAAGATCAATGGATACGATTTTTTTTTGCAAATAATTCTGTTACAGAGTAATTTGGGAATGAATCATCCAGACTGATTTGTGAAACAGTCTGACAAATTGGTTCACAGAAAATAATCGACTCAAAACAATCAACATTAATATGGTTTGCAAGCAAGTTTTACTCTACACAATAGCAATTTCTATCTGATTAAATATTTTAGCTCGTGTATTAAACACAGACCACCTATGATGTAATATTTTTATTTTATTTACAAATACATTTGAAATGATTATTATTTTACAATATATGTTTAATAAACATTTATATAAACACAAAATATTGAAATTTTATTGCACTGAAGACTGGAGTAATGACTGCTGAAAATTAGGTTTTGCATCACAAGAATAATTCAAATATATTAAAATAAAAAATATATATATTTTTTTTTTAAATTGTAACAATATTTCATAATATTGCTGTTCTCGCTGTATTTCTGATCAAATAAATACAGCCTAGAAAAAAAAAATAAAAAAAAAATCTTACTGACCCCAAACTTTTGAATGGTGGCAAAGCAAATTTGTACTACATTAAGACTATATTATGGCATGTTTTTTATTTTTATTTTTTTTTTTATGGGCAGGTTATTGTTGTAACAGTGTAATAGTTAAATCATCATTCTGCTCTCAAGTCTCTGTAAATGTGGGCCCCTGGCCAAGCAGCAGCTCCCTTACACTTGACTTCCTAAGCACATCTATACAATCTGTTTTGTGAGCAATATGGCTTATGTGTGTATATGTGTTTGGGTCACTGCCAGGGCAGACACTTAAACTATTCTTGACCCGCGGCTCTCCTGGGTTTCAATAATTCATCCATCTCCCAGTCCCTCACACAAACACAGAGACAAACCCCCAGAACAAACATACAGTCGGACGACCTGAGGAAAAAAAAAAGAGATGCATACAAACACTCACCATTTGATTTCTCACTGTCTGCGGGCTTCATCTGTATGGGATGGTGCATCTGAAACACAGGACACACACGGGTTACATTTACACAAACACGGGGCACATTTACTACAACACACTCATTAACGCTCACGCCAGCACATAATCAACCTCGTCTCACTGCCGCACTGATGTTCTACATTATCGCTGTAATCTTGTTAATGTGTCGTCATTTTTTCCGCTGACTCTATTCTTCATCTCGATAGATGCTAGCGGAATGAAGACGTACGCGTGTCGGGGGTTTGATGAAGGTGATTTGTCAGCACTTTGCCGATGAAATGTTTATTGTGTTCCATCTTTCTTTCACGCACACTTGTTCTTGTTCTCTTAATCTCTAGCCAACGATTTTTTTGAAGAATTTGCCGTACGCATTTTGCCATTTCGTCTGCACAGTTCTTCAATTGTCAGTCTATGTACAAACCTGGCAGATGTCTTTGGGGGGGGGGTCATTGTGTAATACTGTATTTTCAGCAATGTGTTTTTAAGGTGTTGTGTCATGTAGGGTTTTTGACAATTTCCCCTACTTTTTGACAATTTGCAATACAATATCACCATATTTAGGCATTTGGTCTAAAACGTCTCACAGCAAGGTTATTTCTTTTCTCTATTATGACCAAAACAAAAACAACAACAACTATATATCACACACATTATAAAATTAATAAAAATATAATTATAATTTAATTTACACTTAATATAATATTGTGTATAAAACCTATTAAGGCGCATATTTATTGAAATGATATTTTGACCTAATAAGGTATTACCGTCACCATAATTAGGTATATGTGACCCTGGACTACAAAACCAGTCTTAAGTTGCACGGGTATGTTTGTAGCAATAGCCAGAAATACATTGTATGGGTCAAATATATATATATATATATATAAGAACCTGAACTGATTTGAGCAAATAAATCCAACTTCCCCATTCATAATTTTTTGTATTAAGATTTAAAATCAGAGATGCTATTCAATTACCTTTATCTTAGTGCTCAAACACTCAAAAGTTGCGACACAAGGATGTGTGAAACTAGTATATTAGCGCAATTTTTAGGAAACTTAATAGCCAAATTAACTGCATTAAAACCATTGTAAAATTCACATTAAAACAACCTGAAGTAACACCTTCAGCTTCATGGTCAACTCCACCAGAGTCCAGCTTTGATATACTGCCAGAGACCAGATCTATTCTTCATCTCGATAGATGCTAGCGGAATGAAGACGTACGCGTGTCGGGGGTTTGATGAAGGTGATTTGTCAGCACTTTGCCGATGAAATGTTTATTGTGTTCCATCTTTCTTTCACGCACACTTGTTCTTGTTCTCTTAATCTCTAGCCAACGATTTTTTTGAAGAATTTGCCGTACGCATTTTGCCATTTCGTCTGCACAGTTCTTCAATTGTCAGTCTATGTACAAACCTGGCAGATGTCTTTGGGGGGGGGGTCATTGTGTAATACTGTATTTTCAGCAATGTGTTTTTAAGGTGTTGTGTCATGTAGGGTTTTTGACAATTTCCCCTACTTTTTGACAATTTGCAATACAATATCACCATATTTAGGCATTTGGTCTAAAACGTCTCACAGCAAGGTTATTTCTTTTCTCTATTATGACCAAAACAAAAACAACAACAACTATATATCACACACATTATAAAATTAATAAAAATATAATTATAATTTAATTTACACTTAATATAATATTGTGTATAAAACCTATTAAGGCGCATATTTATTGAAATGATATTTTGACCTAATAAGGTATTACCGTCACCATAATTAGGTATATGTGACCCTGGACTACAAAACCAGTCTTAAGTTGCACGGGTATGTTTGTAGCAATAGCCAGAAATACATTGTATGGGTCAAAATGATCGATTTTTCATTTATGCCAAAAATCATTAGGATATTAAGTAAAGATCATGTTCCATGAAGATATTTAGTAAATTTCCTTCCATAAATATATTAAAACCTCATTTTTGATTAGTAATATGCATTGCTAAGGCGATTTTCTCAATATTTAGATTTTTTTGCACCCTCAGATTCCAGATTTTCAAATAGTTGTATCTCGACCAAATATTGTCAAAATAAAAAAAAATGTTGACCAAACAAATCAAAACAAACAAACAAAAAAAAATAAAAATATTTATATATATA